ACTCTTTTTAAGGGGTCTTACCCCCTCCTTTTAGTTAAAGATGTTACTTCTTTAAGATCAAATACTATATCTACAATAAAATAAAATAAAGTATTTTTAATGTTTAAAACTAAATTTTGTTTTAAAGTAAAGAACTATAATTTATTTATTAAAGAGACTGTAAACGTAGTTTTAGAATTGCATATTGCCTGATTCATAATTGGATAATCAATGAAGAAAAAATCTTAGTTTTCTTGTCTAGAAGTTTTCTTCATTGTCTTTCCTGTATGAATCTGTAATTTATCTTTATAGAGAACCACAATTAAAGTCAAATAAATTGAGTCTTTGCCACAAGGTCAAATTGTCTAATCCTTATATTTTCACAACCTGCAGGTTATGTAAACCATTCATATTTCAAACTTAGATTATTTGATCTAAAAGAATTCATATACTGAAATATCTAAGGTTTACAACATTGGGTTGAAAAAATATAGGGATTTAAAATCAGAGTTTGTGGCAAAGACTCAATTCCTTTCAGATAGAAAAATAAAATAGATTTTAGACAAAGGAAGTAGGGCTGAAATTAGGTCGATAGCCCATTTCAGAACCAAGTCAAAATAAAAGACAGCTGAGAGGGAGGGGGGGGGCAATGTATAATAATGCGTAGAAAAAGTTAATGACACTGAAATGTAAATTTTTCTCAAAGTTTGATATTTGAAATCAGGATATTTTGTTGCTATGAGAAAAGGGCCTTATGTTAACCTCAATAAAGTCTGCTTGGGTCAGCCTGATTCAAGCAGACGGAACTTCGGGGTCAGGCTAGCGGGCTGGGTCAATCCCGGAGGTCAGGCTAGCGGGCTGGGTCAACCCAGAGGTCAGGCTAGCGCGCTGGGTCAACCTGGCGGGCTGAGCCAAGCATTAAAATCTGAATACATTGATGAATATTTGATATTTTAGATCAGTGTCAGTCTAGGCACTCAGCCACCATATACTACTACAAGTCGGTAAATCATTTTTTAAAGGGATATTTTTTTAAAGAACATTTTTAAAATTCATAATTTTTAAAGGGACAAAGAAATTAAGTCTTAAGTCTAAAATTTTCTAATCCCTATATATTATCAATGTAAACATTTAATTTTTTAAACTTAATAGATTTGATCTAACAGAATTAATAACTTGAAATATCTTAGGTCTTAAGTCTTTGCCACAAACTACAATTTTCTCATCCCTTTATATCATCAAACCTGATGGTGTAACCCTTCGATATTTCAAAATCAGATGATTTGAAACTTTAGATTTTAGTTTGAAATTTCTAATTGGTCTGAGAAATTAGGTGGCAAAGATATATAAGATATATAAGATATATAAGAAATATAAGATATACATATATAAAAGATATATATATACAAGATATATAAGATATTTAAGATATATTAGATATATAAGGATAAGAAAAACTTGTTTGTTCACAAAACTCAATTCCTCGAAAGGAAACTTTCTAAACAAAAATTAAAGATTGAAAGCTTATGAATATCATCGTTAATAATTTTTAAATTAATAATATAATACATTTCTAACAAATATTTGCGTTTATGATATAAAGAGTAAGTGTACTTTATTGATCGACACATATATGATAAGAAAGTTTCCGAATAAACATCTAACTGTTATATGATACTTTATTTGGTGTTAAGTATTTTCAAAAAAGTACTTTCCTGAGGAAAACTTCTTAATAGCTTTTCCCAAATAATTTTTTCTAACCCCATATTTTCGCAAATGTCTATTTGGAAAGTGCCATTTGAAAAATGCTAATGTGTCAAAATAATGAAATGTGTATCTTGGAATACGCCTATTGAAAAAAAAAGATTAAATAAAATCATTTTGTTCATCTCATTCTCAAACACCATGGTTTAGGTGTCAAGATGACATTTTGGCAGGAGAACTATGGGTTCATCAAGGAGGTGTACGACACCAGGTACAGCAAGATGGTGGAGTGGATGGATAATATAGAGATGGCCATCCAGAAGGTTTGCGCCAGCAAGGTCTACACCTCTGCAGAGTTCAAGAGGGAGAAGGATAACTTTCAGGTAAGTTCAAAATGTTCCTTGCAAAAATCTTTATATTAACATTCAAGAGAAATAAAATCCCTTTGAAACCCAAAATTTCAAAAGAGTTTTCACAACTCACTAATGCAAAATCAACTGTCTTGTTTTTGAAAAAAGTATTATGGAATTTGATGAATAATTATTTAGTCTCTTTGCAAAAATCTGGAGAGAGCGGAGACCAAGAAATGGCTGACTGAAACTTTAGAAACTCTGATGAAGGTAAAAATATGATTCTAAAAGTTTTTTAAAACGAATTCTTAAAGTAAAATCTATTTGAAAATTAGGAAAGAGCTCCTGATGAGCAAAAAGAAGAGAGCAAGAAATTAAAGCTGATCATGGAAAGACATAAAACTTTGATTCCCAAGATTCAGGTAAAACAGGCTGGCCCAGCTTTAGAAAATTCATTTTCCTGCATGTTAATATCCAGGAAACTTTGGTGAAGACAGAATGCTACTGGAAGTGCTACTCCTATGGTGATGATCTTATTCCCATTTTTGAATTTATTGATGACTTGAGAAACAGATCAGTCAAGGAACTTCTTAGCGGTAACAGTGAACAGACTGAGGAGCATATTGAGAAGCAGGATAAGGTAATTTTGCTGAAAATCAAATTTTGAATAAGTTCTATACAATGTCTTTGTGCAGGTCGTGAACAGCTTGGAGAACAAGAGAAAGATGGTTCTAGACTTCATTGCCAAGGGAGAGAAGCTTATGCAGGATCAGAACTGTCCCAAGTTCCTTGAGGGTCATGTCAAGAAGCTTAGAGAAGCATGGGAAGACACCAATGAGAAGGCTCAGATCAGAAAGAAGGCCCTGGCTGACAATCTTAGCTCATGGGAGATCTTTGAGGACAAGAAGATTGAATGCCACAAACATCTGGATACTGCAGATGCTGAGTTTGAACAAATCAAAAAGATCTTTGATCTTTCTGCAGGTGTAAACTATTTAACACTCATAAATAAAACTCTTTTTAAGGGGTCTTACCCTTTACTTATTGTACATATATTCTAAGGTCCTGCTGATTACAACATGAGAATGAAAACTGCAGCCAACTATAGACACACAATTGAGGATGTTTACAACACTGTTAGTAATGCCAATGCAACCCTTCAACAAATGTTACCTGAAGATCGTAAGGCAGGCATGAACGATGAAGTTAAGGAGCTCACTGTCAGAATTGATATCCTTGCAAAGACGGATGAACGTCTCCTCTTTATCGATGACTTCAACAAGAGGCTGGCTGTGTGGAATATTGCTGTTACTGATCTGGAAGAGTGGTTGGATGAGGGCAGAAAGAGGTTGGACACCATCAAAAATCCAACTGATGTCCTGAGCCCTGAAGACAGAGTCACTAAGTCTATGGAGGTTCAGGAAGATATCAGCAAAAAATCCGACTTCTGCAACAAACAAGAAGCAGAGAAAACTGAAATCTTCCCCAAGCAGGGAGAGAAGGTTTCATCAGATGCCAAGAAGTTTATTGAAAGGCTGAAGAATGTTAGAAATGAATTGAACAAGCTTGATGATGAGGTGAAGGCTGAATGTGCCAAGTTCAGTGAGGATGTTAAATACTGGGCTGAGTTCCAGACTGGTATTAAGGCATTTGATCCTTGGCTGAAGAAGGCTGAGAAGAGGAAGGTTGAAGGACTGAAGACTCCCAAGTCCCTAGTAGAGGCTTGTGAGATTCTTGGAGATGCTAAGGTGACATTTTGAAAATTCTAAGATCAAATTGTGAGCCTGGTTTGATTTATTTTTGTATAGAATTTCCAAGAGGAGTGTGAAACTAAACTCCAGATTTTGGAAGAAGCCACAGTTTCAGCACAGAAGATGGCTTCACACACTGATGCAGATGACAAGGTTTGCAATTTCAGTTAAAAAATTGTTGTCAATGAACCATGAACCTATTTTTACCAATAATGATGACCAATTTTTACTAATTTTAATCAATAATGATGACCAATTTTTACTAATTTTAATCAATAATGATGACCAATTTTTACTAATTTTAATCAATAATGATGACCAATTTTTACAAATTTTAATCATTACTGATGCCCAATTTTTACCAATTTTGACCAATAATGATGACAAAGGAATTGAGTCTCTGCCACACACTCAAGTTTTCTAATTCCTATATCTTAGCAACCTGACCTTGTAAACCTTTGATATTTCAAACATAAATTATTTGACTTAAGAGGATTGATAGTTTGAAATATCTAAGGTATGTGACATTGGGTTGCAAATATACAGGGATTAAAAAGTTAGAGTTTGTGGCAACGACTCAATTCATTTAGAAACTTCGAGGTTATAAAGGGAAAGTTATATATATTTTTCTTCATGTTTGATTTATTGATAGTGGTTGATAAAATTTTCAAAAAAAAATGTCAAAATAAATAAATTATTACAATAAATTGAATATAAAAAGTATCCATAATTTGCTAATTAAAATCTGATTAACTATCTGGATCATGACTGGACTCCTGAACCTATTTCAGGTTGCTGGCTACCGCAGTCGGTGGTTAGCAGTTCATGAGACTACAAAGGAGTGGGTTGCCAGGATGACAACTCTAGTAGAGTGCTGGAACAAGCTTGATGGTAACGTTGGTGAACTGAGTTCCTGGGTTTCAACTAAGGTATAATTAGCTTGATATTGGGAATATTCAGACTTGTTTCTAACAGTTCATCAACATTTAGTTGGGATAGTTAGTTCTTAGATAAGAACTGAATGATTCGTTCAGAAAAAGTTTTTTCTTATTTTTTCAGAAAGATTTCAATAATATTAACATGGTTCACGGTAAATATTTTAGAAATCATTGACAGTAAGTAACATTAACGATTATTTAATGAAAAAATATCACTGGAGCGGAAAAAAAACAGAATACACCATTCAAAATGTGATTTTTGTTCATTTTTCATGAATATTTAATTTCTTTTGTTAATAATCTCAAAATCAACGTTTTTTGCAGTTCGTTGGTTAAATTTTGTTCATTTTCAAAAAACCTGCTGTTCGTTTACAGAATGTTCTAAGCTGTAGCTTGATGTAAAAGTACAAGTTTAAGATAAAATGTTCCCCTTCTACCTGGAGGGTTTGATTAATGATCTAGGACACATATCAAAATCAGATTTTCAGTAGGAATTCAAATTTAAAGTCAAATACATGGAGAAAATATTGAATATTGGCTTGGAGATAAATATGTTCGTTTTATTCAACTACAAGGTGTACAAAAAATTCTTTAAATTAAAAAAAGATACATTTTGTTTTCAAGTATTTTTGGTTGTATACTTTATGTAATGTAATGTAAAACAGATATAATTCTAGAAATTCAGTTCCCCATCTGAGAATTTCTTGTCTTGCTAAATGAAGATACTCTATAAAAAGACTTTGTAATTTCAAGTGACCCTACATTTGGGGTTTTTGTGCAAAAGAGAAATTTACAAAAAACAAAAATATGTTTTAAAATATGATATTTTCTATGTTTTTGGCTTGGGACAAATATATATATTTGATTTGATTTGATTTGATGTTTTCTTCCACATTTTTTATCAGATTAAAATTACAAAGGTACCATTGTGAATCGAGCATTGCTATCATTGCACGGAGGTTCACTTATACTTACGCTTACAGTCCCTTTAATCATTTAGATATAAAAGTAATGTGAATCTTAGATAGATTTCTTTGGTTATAGGGTTATTCAAATATGCTTCTATCACTTTTTTGAACACCCCCAGTTTCATATACTTTAAGTCCTAAAGGTTCCAAGGTATTTTGCTGCGTAAGGGATTTCACAATTTTCCACTTAAAAGTGTGAAATATTTCCAGAATTTAGGGGAATATTGACCTTATCTTAAAATATATCATCTTACTAAATGTTTGCTCTAATAATCATGGCGATGAAATTTAAATTTTAAATTTGTAAATTTAAATCCTATTTTCCTGCTTGCTGGATTCTCTAATTAACTTAGCATGAATTTGTTTATAATTTACAAATTTATACAAGACTGAGATAGTTTGGAATTTGAATTTTTAAAAATGGTAAAACTTTCTAGAAAATTTCAGATAATACAGTCGTCACTTAGGTCGTCATTTATTTTTTTTACGATTACCGCATTACTAAATTTAATTCTTCAAAAAATAAATTTCTTTTTTTAATTAATGTCTTGTCATTTTATAAGAAAATTTCTTTTACCTTTTGCTCCTGTTCCACTTAAAAGCATTTGCTTGAGATATTTAGAATTATTGAATTTCCATTTTAAGAAATTCAGACTCCATCACAAATATTCTTACACTTAAGTGCAACCGACTCCGGAGAATTTAAGATGATATCTAATGAAGCAGAACAGCAAATAACACGATAAAAACACGGAAAATTGTCGAAAAATCGAAAAATTTATCAATTTTGACGAAGTGGTTCGAATTATGTTATGATCTGAGAGTTACTTATAAAAACATTTATTCCTGTTTCATGGATTTTTGGTAATGAAGACGACATTTTAATATTTTCCAGGAATGTTCGAAAACAAGTTCTAAGCTAAATATTATTTTTTTTTAAAAATCAAAACATTTTATGAAAAATCAACTATATACAAATGTGGCGAAAGATAATCGATGACTATAGGTTGTAATATCTGAATGATTTGTTTGAAATTAAATAGATTTTTTTCGGTCTAAGTCGTATGTTGCATTTGTCTGAATTTGTATGGACACTACGTTCTTCGGTATGAGTCGTTTTTAACAATTTTCTCCTTATAGACGCAACAGCTAGAAGTAAGATTAGTAGCGATCAAAAGCGCTTTTTTTATCGCATTATGCCTGTACCCCCTTTTATTTTTCGCGAACACTCCCTTTTAATGAAATTGCGTTTAAAGCTACTTTAGGACACTTTTTACACACTATTTTTTTATTCCATTTAAAAGCTAAAAAGTAAAAAAAAAATCATGCAATTACCAATTGTGTTACTTACCTTACATTACTAACGAGACTCTGTCAAAAGAGGAAGTCCAATTCTAGTTAGTTCCTTCGTAATTTCAAATTCAATAATTCCTACCTATGATGCATCAGGATTCAGGACAACATTTTGCATTCACTGCGAAAACTGAAGTTTTGCAATTAGTTGGCAGTCCATGCACAACTTTTTTTGCAGGAAATAAATGATGATGAACTAGGTCTGTCAGAGAAATTTGCAATTCCAGGACAGATATTGATAGACAATTCTGTGCAGTATAATTATTAATCTAAAACGTACTGCAGTTGGGTTCAAGAAAAACCAAATAAAGAGTACTAAGAAAAAAAACATTTCTCACTGTATTTCTTTTTTATGCTTTAAGTTCCTTCCCAAAATAAATCTTCTAAGAAATAAGATAACTAAAAGTAGTTCTAAGATCTCTACTAAGAATCTAGAAACTAAACTAAATACAAATATATCTAAATTCTAGGATTCTGCAGCTCCTGATGGTAGCTCTGAGATCTCAATTGAGAAGCTTGAAACCCAACTTGTTACTCTGAAAACTATGTTTGCTGAGAAACAACGTCTTGTAGCAGATCTTGAAGCTTATGGATCAGGAACAGGAACAGGTAGGAGATAAAAAAGAATACTTACTTTAATATTTAAAACCTTATTTATAATACTTATTTTTAATAATCTGAAATATGAAAAAGCACTTTTGATGTAATATTTTATAGTTAAATCATGAATAGTACATTTTAATGTTTATGGCTTTATAGATAAAAGGAAACATTTGTAAGAAAAAAATACTTTTAACGTAATATCAATTGACAACTTCTAGAAAAGCCAGCAGAAGCAGCTAAACCTGTTGAGGGAGAGGAAGCAGCTAAACCTGAGGAAGCTGCTCCTGCAGCAGTAGCAGAGGAACCTGCAGCAGAACAACCAGCTGCTTAATTCAAAAGAAGTAGGAAGGAGACTTTTCCAGGCCAATAAGAAGAGTAAAAGTCGAAAGTTTTTATGAACATTGAAAACATCACAATAGTTTCTTAACTTCAATGTTAACGAAGCAGCTTCTGTAAAAAACATTGTATGTTTTCTCAATTAAAAATTGTAAATTATTAAATCAAAATATTAAAGGAAAAGTGATTTGTCATCTTTCAAAATTTACGATTCTACCCCCCGCCCCCCCTTGCAATGTCTGTAGGACAGCTAAGCTCATAGTATCCTATAGGTAAGTGACAGTATAAGTTTTGTACCAGGTTTTAACAAATGTAAACTCTCAAACCTGATCAAACTGTAAACGTACAATTTTGTTAAACACATATTGTTATATATATATAATTTGTAATACTACTATTTCATCCGTTCAAACAGCTCGTTAATAAACTTAATAATTTGTGTCATTAAATGTAATTTTATTTCTTCTGGAGAGTGGAGACACTACAAATTACAATCTCTGATCACGTTTATCTAAAGTATATTGCAATATTGAAATCTTACTCTTTTATATAAAAAAACTCTTTTTGTTAAAGTGCTTTGAAAAAGAACAAACACGTTTTAAATTTATAACATGTAATGTTACTGGATAAGTTTGCTTATTTTAATTTTGTGCTTAAAATCAAAACTAGAGGAGGTGCATGGTCACAAAGTCGTCACATAAATTTGACCTCTTTCCTGCTGTCGTGTTTGTGACTGCAAGAGGGAGAAGCCTGTCTCTTGTGCTTCAAAGGCTAGTTTAAAACATTTTATTTGCTCTGTTTGTTAAAATTTAAAATTGCTTGGCTATAAACTTCAACAGAAAAATCTACGAACTATTTCACGTGATGTCTCACAAAAAATTTGGGCCCGATCGGTTCAGCCGTTTTGACGTTTATTGGATACAAACAAACAAACAAACAAACAGACAAACACCCAAACAAGCCAAATTAATATATAGATTAGTATGATTATTATCATTTATTGTTAGTTTATGACTTAAAATGGCTTTTCTCATCTAGAAAATTTTTAAACCTGGTTTAAAAAAGAAAAGGAAAATACTAAAGCAAAACAAATCTGTTGATATAACTGTTTTATTACACTTCATGTTATAACATGGGACAGCAAGTATTTCCCGTTATTGTTATATATTCCTGTCTGTTTGAGGTTTTTACATTCATTTTTTTTTTGAGTGGGGGGGGGGTTTAAGGTTTGCGCCTGTAAGTTCGTAATAGATTGACGTTGAAACTATCTCTTATTTGATCTTCCCTTCTACCCCTCCTCCCCTTTGTAGACCCCTGAAGTATGGAGGGTCGGTATGATTTTGGTTTACATTAAGCTGATATACATCTTATCAAGGGTTAAATCTCAGCCAGGGAGCTCCCAACCTACAGCCAGGGATCATTAGAGCAAATTAATCAATTAATTGATTTTTTCATTATCATTAACTTTATCAACCTACTATACAATTATGATCTTTCTTTTCGTAAAACGTTTATCAAGAGAAATTATTGTTTGAAAGTTACGGTTTGAAAAGTTTTTACTTAATTGCGTTTCTGAATACGCAAACAAGACAACATTTTAAAAAGGACAATTACTTTGGTTGATTTAAGTCTAAATTTCTTACGGTTAATTAAGACCTTTAAGGTGTTTTACCCTTTAAATTTAAGGTTTTAAATCTAGTTTCGGGAATTTCAAAGTAAATATAATTAGGGTAAACCCTATAGTAATTTTCTCACACATATAATAAAAAAGATTACAAACCAATTAAAAGTTTGGAGAAACTTCAATTATATTTGCAACTTTGGACATTAAATGCACACATTTGACAAATAAAAAAATGATAATTTGTCATTTTTACATTTTAAATTACTACTTGAAATGTTGATCTAATAAAAAAAGGTTGCTTGAATCTAGAATTCTAAAAGGCTTTACTGGGGAAATAAATATCTGAAAGGGGCTAAAAACTTAATGTCACGTCCCCTCAATCTAAAGAGTGAAACTTCTGATTCACAACGGTACCCTTACAAGGTTTAAATGATCAATAATGAATGAGACATCCATGTTTTTTTTTAATTTCAAAACGGTACCGTAACCGGCCATGTATGAATGAGATAGTCTTATTTTTATTGCTGAAATCTGATATTTTTCAATTGTGGCTTCCATTAAAAAGTGAATGACGAGTAATGCAGCAGAAAAAAAGAATTCAACACGATTTATTAAAAAAAAATGGCGACATCTTCCTATATTGTCAGTCCCTAGCTCTAAACAATCTCATATATCCTTATATATTCTTAAGTGTACTTGTTTTTATAGAGTAAAATAACCAACATGAGTTCCATAGTTATATTAGGGCTTCCATGTTTGTTTTGGTTCCCAGGGTCCCAGGGTTCCCTGTTTATATTCGTTACATTTTAATTATTTTCAAATGAAAAAACGTTGGATCCTTTAATCCTAGATTCCTTATTTACTCTACCCATTCAACCCACATTCTCTACCCATAGATAGATAGATAGATAGATAGATAGATAGATAGATAGATAGATAGATAGATAGATAGATAGATAGATAGATAGATAGATAGATAAATGTGTCCAAGAAAAAAGAATTCCTGGTAAAAAAAGTATTGAACTTTAACCAAGATTTCGAAGATTCAGTTTGTTATAAAAATAGCAAGATAACGGTTGATTTTAAAATCTTTTATAATTTTTTTTGAACGCCCTGTAAAGATGGATTGAGGATAACTGAATTCCGAATAATTATAGATCCATAATTCTACCTTTCATTGAAAGATGGTGGGAATGGATAGGGTTAAACTGCAAGGGGGGGTAGGGTTAAACTGAGGGGGGGGAGATAGGAGATAATAAGATGATAGATATTTTTGAGAATTTAAAAGAAACCATGAGTTTGAACACAGAGAGAAATAGGAATAAATTCAAGCAAAAAAGTAGAAAGAATAATTAAAACTATATATACAAAATAACAATTATAAAATTAGAAGAAATTCATTAAATAAGGAAAGAAAGCTAAAAATAAGGTTAAACTTAGATGAACCCCTAATACAAAGCGATTACAACTCAAAAAATAAGTTTTTTAAATTTTCAAAATAAAGTTTTTTTGTAAAGGAAAATAACCGAAAATAACCATAAATATAGTCACCCCGCCTTCCAAATCCGTCCTCCTACCCTCCCCGTTAGATGGTAAACTATGGGTGGCTGTTATACTTACAAAATCTTTGTCTTGTTCTATATAAACCTACCGACATAAAAGGACCATCCACACAGAAAAAAAAGTGTTTAAGTTTTTAAAATGTTAGAAATAATTATTTACTGTGAAATGTTTTGATTTTCAACATGTTTCGGTAAAAAAATGTATGTTTGATGCATGAATGGCCCTGAAGGGATTGCGGTCAGCTGATCACGTGATTGATCCTACATCGGTCAACCTGGGATTTAAATCAACAGTTGAATTCCAACCTTTCTCCTGCAAACACATCTCTCACCTACGCTCTCTTTTCATACATAACAAAGCATTGAAGCAACGCAATAATCAGTTATTAGATCTATCAGATATCCTTTAACTATCAGTTATCAGCTGATTTAACTAAAATCCGCCAAAATGCCTTGTCTCCCGAGCATCACCAAGAAACTCCGCCGATCAAAATCCTCAAGAAAAGAGGAAAATGATTTTTATTTCAAACTTGAACCTCAGCTGTCTCGAGAAACTTTAGTGCTCTCAAGTCTACCACCAGAAGACTCTTTTAGAAACGTGTACGAGTGGTTAGAAGCTCAAAATAGTCCAGCACCATATCGTCCCTGTGCCTGTTGTCAGGATAGTCCGGACTGTCACTATGCCTGCGTTGACATCACTCGTCGTCTTATCACATTTAGTCCTCAATCTCGTAGATTTAGCGCAGATATTATTCACAGTAGGTCAACCTCATACCTTAGTCAGGACACTCCCAGGACCACGTTCAGTCCTAGACCCTCATATGGGACGAACATGACGTCCTATGGTTCAGACAGGACGCATTATGCAAGTGAAGAGGACCGAGTCTCAGAGATGTACTATGATAACCCGGATACTCCTGTGGGAAACCACTACCCGGAGAGGATGGACCGAACCCGTTCTAGCTCCGATGAGAGTGATAATACTGAATATATATACCTGGACTTTCAGAGAAAAAGTCCCCAATTTGATTCCTGGCAAGTTACAAGAAAACCATCCTTATCTCCAGTCAGAAGCGCGTTTGTTTAGACTTTTCAGTTAGAATATGGTCTCTTGAACCCGAAAATTTATATACTTGTGATAATTTCTATTCTTTCAAAATATGCTTTTTTATTTCGCTATTCATACTGTTATACATATCTATATATTTTAATAAATAACTGCTCTCAATATTATCTCTTATTTATCAGAAACTTTGAAGTTAGGTGTTAGGTAGTTTAAAATAAAAGAGTAAACTTTTGATTTGGAGAAGCCCACGCTTGTGTATACCAAGTCAGTGCTGGGACATTTTATAAACAGTTTTCAAAAGGACTGTTTTGTCAAGTGGCACATTGTTAACAAACGGGCATACCCGATTTACATCGGTACCCTTATCTAATCAATGTTGAAGATATCGTCGGTTTTCTAGCCTAAAAAGTGTTTAATTCTGACCATGACATTCGTTGTTTCTGTAACAAGGTCACAAATATTTGAAGAGGTCGTTCTTTAAAGTGTACCGTTGTGAATACAGACATGACACTCTAGGGTCACTAATATCACTTATACAGTCCCTTTAAATAGACATTTCTGAGATATTATATTTGATATTTACTTTTCGTAAAAAGGACAGTTTATAATAACGTTTCATTGTTTATTAAATTTGTGAAAACTTGAAGTTAAAATACCAGAGTCCAAAACTAAAGATACGACTTAAATTTTAAGTTTCAGCTGAAAAGTCGCTCGTGACTTAAACAAAACCGTAACTTCGATCAAGCTGTAGCTTAAATATATAGCTCATCGAAATTGACGAGTTAAATATTGCAGTTTCTCATTATTTTCTATCAACTGATCATAATTTCCTACAAAATGATACAGCGTATTTATAACCCAATTTTTTGATGTAGTATATGAGTCTGGGATTTATTTTAATTTAACTCTGAATTCCTTATTTTCCTTTTAAGCTGTAACTCAAATTTTGCGCATTCTTTAGTTTTTGACTCTTTAAATGCATACAAGAAGTGGTTAAACCTTCTCTGACACCAGGTTAAGCAAAAGAGAAGTTGTTCATCTAAGTTTATATGCGTAGTTTAACCGATTCTCACATTCTGGAAATCTGGTTCTTAATTATAATTTTCATGATTTAAAATATTTGGGTTTAAAGAAAGGAATTAAAAGGTTCATTTTCAATGAATGCTATGAATGACAAGTCGATTTAAGGTTAAAATA